TGTGACCAAGCCTTAAACAAAAGACTTTGTGAACTTGTGAACATATTCAGGACCCAATTTTAAAAACAGTAGGGTATATGGGCATATTTTCTTTTTCTTTTTCTTGATCCCCAACTATCTCCCCCAACAGGCAGGGAAGAAACAAGAAAGAAGGATAAACTCAGTAAGTAATTGGATGCCCATTTGTCTGCCTATCTTTATTTTAAAGCTCTAACAGAAGGACTTATACAAGAAAAGATTATGACCATCAGCTAAATATACATTCTCAGTGTACTTCAATTTTCAGTGGACATCAGTATCTGGACACCACACATAACTGAGTGTCCTCTGAATTCTTCCCCTTTGCCATTTTCCATGCTCTTCAGTTTCCCACATCTCACTATTTTCTGTTCTCCTTGCCCTACTGACATTCTCACAAAAGTCTCTATTATCATCACTGCTGACCTTGTTCTCTTGAAGAACAACCTGCAGTTGAAGAAATGATTCTGCATGGCTAGAAAAAATCATATAAGAGTAAACCCTCTAGAGAGCTGTTTGCCCCAATGCCAGATTGTGTGCAATTCACAACAGAGAACTGAGTAGTAGTCTTTTTTTTAAAGTGCAATCCAGAAGCTGGAACCAAATGAATGGATAGTTAAGATTGAATTTTGAGAATGCATAGAACAGAATGCTAAAGCTGAAAGAGATATTAGGGGTCACCTAGAGCAACTTCTTCATTTTACAGATCAGGAAACTGAAACCCAGAGAGATGAATCCATTTTCCCGTAGTTCTGTAGCCAGATGCTTCAGTTTGTTCTAGTTTAATTGCTTCAAAATAGCTATGATAGTTACAACTGGTTTACTTCATGTTTTTGTGTTGCTTTTTAATCAAGTTTGTTTTGGTTAATGACTACTTTTTTTTTAAGGGCTTCAGTTTGGGATTTCTATAGTTTTTTCTTAATTTTTGTTCAAGCCATGGCTACTAACCTAATTTTGATTTTCAATATTCATAATAAAAACAGATTTATCAGTAATAATAAAGTGTTTTAACTGTGTTAAGGTGATGATCCTAAATCATCCACAATAGAAAGCAGGTGTTTTTCTAGGAAGTCTAAGCTGTGCTTGTAAAAGGGAGAATGGTTGTCTTAGAATGTCTCCTACCCCTCTGCTCTCATTATTATATAAGTAAGCTCTAAGATAAATCTAAATCTAAACTACTATTTTCTCCCAGAGTTCCTGGGAACTTAGTTTATCAGCTCTCTATGGCAGGATACATTGTACATTATTCTTCAGAGTTATCAGCAACCTTGGTCCATTTAGTTGTGGGAGGATCTTGGGTTGAGAGCTGAGTACAAAATTGATGTTGGCATCCACCACCTTTCACAAAAAGGACTGCTGAACAACATGAGAAGTCAAGATCTTAAAGACATCTTTTCAGAGGATTGTTCGAGTAGCACACTTTTTGAGACAGAGAAAGTCACCAATTTCAATCAGTGGAGAGACAAAAGGTTCCTTTCTGTTGGAAAAGAAAGTGTGATAAACGCCTAGCTACTCCTCCAGAATGTCCCATGGAGGGGTACACATTATGTATTCATTAAAACATGTAACAATATAGTCTAATCTAGTTCTTTTTGTTCATTTTGATGAGATATAACTGACACCACAAAGATGACAATTGTTAATGTGAATGAAAGGTTTCATAACTTACATCAATAATAATCTATCCTCCTGTCTATGGGTGTTATCATCTGTAAATATGAAAAAAAAATTAAAATAAAAACTCAAAACAAAAGGTGGGGGAAGAGAAAGGGAAGGGGCTGGAGCATCCATTGAGCTTTAACTGCTAGTGGAAGAGAAACCCTAATATGCAGAACCTTGCTCTGTCACTCGATCTTGTTACCCTTCCTTCCAGTCCAAATGGATTTAGGTTTAGTGACATCACTAAACTGAAATTTAACGAAGGTTTTGTTAACAACCTATAAAAAAGTTAGAGAAGAGACAGTGTGTGAGGAGGGATTTAAAGTATAATGCCCTCCAAGTTGAGAAGGTACTTTAAGAGCAAAGAAGGAAGCACAAAGGTCCATTCAGAGATACACAAAGATATTTATTAATGGGGGTGACTTATATACAGGAAATTTGCATGCAACAAAGAATCAGATGTCAGCAAATAAAAGCTTGTGCTCTCTGCCCGTTAGACAATGTTTATAAAGCAAAAGCCCCCTTCACTAAAAATAACTTCAAGGAAACATCTTAAGAAAAAAAGTTGATAACATTCATCAAGTGTCTTGTGATTCATGATGTGTGTGTGTGGGGGCGGGGTTCTTGTGATGTTTGTACTCAGGCCACTGATGTCACCTGCTTTAATACATCATTCACTCCCTGAAACCTATGTTCCTTTTACAGCTTGCCCTAAGCTTAAGGAGTAATTAGCCAGTGAAGAAGAATGAGGTTAAACAGAAACCAACGTAGGAGGCAGGGCACAAAATGGTGTTAGTTTTGTTCACCCTCTAATAGAAAATAGCATTCACCAACTTTGGAATTGGGACATGCAGTACTGGCCGTTTAAAATTTAAAAAGAATAAAGAGGAATGAGGAGAATTAAAAATATTTTGTTAAATATTTTTTCTACCTCAACACTTTCTAAAAGTGTTGGCATGCTATATACAACAATGCAGGATTCTAGAATTTATTTTCTCCCAAAGAATTTTAAATGTATTTTTTTTTTTTTTTTTTGTTTTTTTTTTC